CTCCTTCTTTCCACAGTACTTAGGAGCAATACCCAATGTACCTCAGGGTCTGGACCTGACCAACAGGACAGAAGTCTTAAGAATAGTGGATGATGGGAAGGTGAGTGTCTGCAGAGTGAAGAACAGAATGAGTTTGGGGAAATTATCTAATAAGGCCACACCAATTTAATTTGTTGGTTCTCGGATTCGCCTCTTCGTTTTTTCTGATTTGCAAAAAAAAATTTAGATTCTGGTCCTGAATCAACTGAAAAATGCTCATGTTTTGCCCCCAACAGTTGAGGAAAGTCCTTTTCTTCCTAGTTGTTACAGTTTTCCCATCTATCATTGCAGTGGTTTGATTAAAAGTTCAAAATTCAATGTTTAAATTTTAACCCGGTCTTTTATGTTGACTTCATGGCTCATTTCATAGCATTTAAGCCTATAATAGGATGCCTAGACCTGTTTTTATTTTAATTTTTTTTCGCCCTGTCGCTTCATATTTTTTCTGAAAAAATCCGAGAACCAACAAATTAAATTGGTGTGGCCTAAGTTTACATTGTATAATCAATCATTTTTTATATGGTTCCTGTTCCCTATGTATAAAACAGCTTAAATATTAGACTTATAATTTGCAATACATTTTATCTGTTTATTACTCCCTGGTACAGAAATACTATTTTGTGGGTTTGTTAATCTGTTTGTTCAGACAGAGTAGGTTGACTGCACATGGGTGGGGGAAGATTGACAGGCAGAATTACAAGAAGTCGGTCAGACATAGGAAATGAGATGAATTTGAAGACCACCAAAACCGAAAATACTTCCCATAAGTCTGAAATCTCTGATTTGTTTTACAGAGAAGGGGTTTGTTACCCTGGACGTTACACATAGAACACGATGCCATCATGAGTCTATCCGCCAACAACGTGAAGCTGCTGCGCCGAGACGGTGAGGACTTGTTACACAGAGTCCCCGTACACGACATCGCTGCTGTCTGCTACGTACGGGATGACGGGCTCAATCTACTGGCCCTGAAAATAGGTCAGTGTTCCTCCACTGTTGTATACTGAGTTTTGGTAGTATACATGTATGTTTTTATGCTGCTGTTACTTTCTTCGTTTTCTTTTTTCATGGACCTTCTGTTGACTGCCCAGAATGACTCAAAGTAAGAGACTGCAGTACTGAATCTAAATGCTAGGTGGCATGCATAACTAGTGCAACATCCCATATTGTGCTACATCTGAAAATTGACATATTCTTTACCTTTTCTACAGGTTCTGATGGTGCTGATAGTGATGTCTGTAACATAGTTGTTTTACATGCTGAAAGTAGGGTAAGTAGCACTTTTGAAGTATTTTTCCTACAGCTGTATTATTTGACATCAAATGTTGCTTTCATATTTCTAAATTCTAATGTTTCTTTGCAGCCCAATACCTCATGTTGGTTTATATTTAAGCTGTCAAGTTGTTCATTAAAGTTGGTAAATGACAGCAACTCTGTCTTATTGTTTTTTGTTTCACTGTGTGTTATTTTGGTACAAATTTAATGGATTAGTAATCCTACTGATGTGATATCTACTGTTCTTGTAGGCAGCATCTGAAGAGCTCTGCTCTCTGATTGGTCAGACTTTCCAGCTGGTCTACACAGAGTCCACCATGGCATTTCTGGACCGGTCCATTTTACAAGGGGCATCCACTCCCAGATATGGCATGTCCCTCAGAAGTAGTAAGTCCCAATTTCAAGTACATTCCAGGTGTAAAGAAAGTGACAAGTGAATTGGTAAACAGTTGGAGCTGATCTTTTTGAATATCTGATTCAGTAAGTGTAAGTGTATGTTTTGCAGAGTATGTACATGTATTTACTTTTAATAAGTTGTAGTTGATCTGGGCATTGGACCAGAATGTCTTTTATCAGCAGGAATGATGTTAGCAGGATGTCAGCATTTTAAAGATTGAAATTTGCTTCCTTCCCAGCCACCTCCAGTCCAGCCAGACCGAGTGTAGCAGAGGTTTTTGCATCTACGTAAGTACTCTAAATCTTCAGATGTTCGTAGTGGTTTCAGTTTGAAGTTTTCACAGTACTGCAAAATTACTACACAGTGAATTGTGTTACATTTGTTTTTTTTATTGTACAACAGAATTATTTCAACCTTGAAACACCATAAAATCCTCCTTTTCCTTCCTACCGCAAAATAAAAGGCTTACCAGAAATGTTATGAGTCTAATGTTCCCCTGCATGTTCGGTCAGTTATGACCAATGTGACCTAGGCTCACTGTCTTTTTCTTATTTGCGAATAAAGAATGATTTTACTACTACCAAGTACATATACTGTACTGTTGCAGGCCACCAAGACCGTCCAATAATAATCATTCTCCGACAAGAGAAGCTCGCTCAACGCCCCAGCACACACGAAAGGAAAGTGTAGCAAAAAGCGAGAGTGACATCAGCATCACCCCGTCTGCTCAGGAGCTCCTACAAGACTACATGTCTCTTGTATGTAGAACACTTTTGTTGCATTATTCCATAAGTGCAAGCTTGTTTATATATAAGTGAAACCAAATCTATGTCATATGAAGTTGTATTGACAACTGCTAAATAATGTAAGTAGTTGTAAGATGACTTATGCAGTTTTGACATTCCTTTGAATTTGTCCTAAAAATGTTTCTTCCACTTACAAATGTACAGCAAGCAAATACATGTAATTTAATACTTGGGGAAATTACAGCACTGAGAAACACTGTTTGACCTGTTTTAACTTTATTCGTCTTTTTCAAGAACGACAGAGTCAGACCACTCCTTTTACGTGCTACATGTGTAGATACACATGTATATTAACTTTCCCGTGCTCCCCTAGTGCATGGCGTTCTAAGTTAATTAGCTATCAGCATCAAGGGTCACTTAGAATAGTCTAGATTTTGGTAAAAAGATGCCAATGTTTTTTTGTATTCTTTATTTATTTCTCAGTTGAAGACAAGGTTGAAAACAGAAGAGTTGAAGCAGTTTGCTCTCCTGTTGAGACAGTACCGCACCAGTATTAGTGTTCGGGAGTTCTGTATCCGCCTGAAGGACTTGTACAGGGAAGAGAGGAAGTTCCTCATGGCAGGTCAGACAACAAGCCTTGTGTAGTGAGCTACGAGTAGTGCTGATAGATCTACATGTATTGCTATGTCCTGTTGACAGGAGATCTTCAACTTGCTCATCAGGATCAAGTCAAAGACCTCGGGAAATATTTTAGTTTTTGTGAATTCCTTGTTTCATTCATTACTATGAATTTTTTGCTGATTCTGTTTGATGCATATAAGACAACAGACATGCATATAGCAGGAAATTAAAAACAGGAAATGAGATAACCTTTTTTAGGACCTTTGACCTAACGGAAGTAACTACAGTAACATTGTCCTTTGTTCTTTTTTCAGGTATGAGGCCATTTATTCCGGAAAAAGATAGTCAGTACTTTGAGAGTTTTCTGGAATCTATAGGAGTTGATGGCAACGGAATTCTCACAGACAGTTATCGCCGATACAGGCGGACTATAAGCGATGCCTCGGCATCAACTTTTAGTGCAAACGGTGCCAACGGCAATGGAAACGGGAACGGTCGGGACTCTGTGTCGATTCCGTCCTCTGGGGGCGACGCCACGCCGGTTCCCCAGGAGACGGAGGAACTGGACAGAATGTTGTCGGACATCCATAATGACATCGAGGCCTTGGCAACAAGTGTGGAAAACATCAACATGCAGTTTTAAGAGTCACTGTTTCCACTGGCTGGAAAGCAGTATGTACTATTTCTCTGCTTTCCGGCGTGGCCTGTGCTACTGGTCTCAGGCTGATGTTTCATACAGGTACTAGATGGCATGCCCTGGTATCATGCAGATGTTTCACATTTGAGCATAAGTACTGTGTATGGACCACCATCTTATACATGGATATAACGTGTCCCTACCACTCCCTGCAACATCATCTGTTGCATGCCTGCCTTTACATGTACATCAGTGGAAACTGGACACCATGACAATTAACAATGGACCAGTAGAAAAATCCCTGCAACATCCATCTCACAACATAACTTCACTGGCTGGGCTCACCAAGGCATCTCCATAACTCATCAGCAACTTCAACTGAAGAACATCAAGACTGAATGTTATGGCTGCGATGAAGACATATTGTAGTGCCAGAGACTTAAAACTTCTTTAAAAGTCATTCATTAGTCGTAACAATGATCATTAAATATCATCAGATGTAAGACTGTTTGCTGTTTCAGTGCCATCCGCTAACATTGCATTATAGTCCTCTCAAGCTCTCATACTATCCTCGTAATGGCTAACTATTCATACTTCGTCTTCTTGATACGGAAAAAAATTTTTCTGACTTTATAAGGGGGTTGTAAAACCATTCAACCCCTTTTGTTGATTCCAAATCTTTTAAGAGTTTTAGAGTTTCGATGAAGTAAACCTCAAAACCTTGTTGGTAAAATTCTAGAAAGACACCAAATGCAATGGTCTAGTACATATACATGTATTAGTCTTAGCAGTCAAATACAAAAATTAGTAGCTTAGCTCAAATTCCTACATGTAAACAACAATGCAGTCTTGCATAGTGCCAACTGTCTTGAATCAAACAACTGTAACAGAACCTACCATCTGTTTTTGATAATTGGAGACACCACAAATGCTCCACAAACTACACGCTTCAACATTTCATTCATCTGATTCAACCTCCTCCTAGCTCTTTTTTTTACCCATTGCAAAAATAGATTACACATAATTCTTTCAGCTTTCTTTCCTCCATTTTCAAATGTAGCAGCAAAACAAAAAAGAGCAATGTAGTTCATGTGGCATTGATGCTTTCATCCTTTCCCTTGTACTTGGTGTTCACCGCCTCTAAGTGAGGGTGGAGTTGCTTGGGGAATGATGAGCAGGCCTGTATGACTTGTCCATGTACCAGGCATCCTATACACAACCACTATGCACATGTCTGCTGAAATCACCCACAGCCGATCCCCTCCCGGGACAGAGTTGTATTTTCATCAGGAGAGAATATCTAGTGCTGTCACATATTTTTGTGTAAATGTATTTAAGATGTGTAAATGTGTGTATAAACATTAGAGTGGCTAAAGCTGACCCAAGCAGAAAGTAAAAATGATGTTGCAATCTTCTCTGCCGTTTCAACTTCTTCTCACTGTGAACTAATAATAAAAGTGAAGAAATGTTTGATTATTATATAACATTTTGTTTTCTTAGTCTGTTATAAACAGAGGAAAATAACTACCAGATTTGTCTGATCCAGGTCATACTGTAACAAAAGTAGTTTGAATATAACAACTTTTGATGAAAAATAGTGTAGGAAAGAAGTAGAATTTAATTGTAGATGTAGCATAGTAGATATTTTGAAGTGAATACTGCTTATAATGGTCCTTTAGGTCATCGCAACTCTTAGTCAATGATTTTGAGTGACATCCTAGTGTTCAGCTTCATAATGTGAAGTTAGATTCTCTGTTATACAACACAAAATGTATGTGTGAAGTAATTCATTTCCTTTCAACTTTGTCCCTAACATGTCAGCTATGCTAGCAAACATTGCACACTGGGGCAGTTGTTGAAAAGATGGATAATTGATGTGAATCTATCCCAGTAACGATTTTAAAGAAGTGTTGTCCCATAGTTGTTAGCCTTATTTTAGGTGACTCCCCGAATTATATAATTGAAGTGATGTACAAAGCCCCTGCCCATTTTTTCAATACCGCATTTTGAGGTATCAAACATGGGGTTTCTCTTAATGAAACATTTGATCAATTCTTACTTATGAAGAAACAATAGATAAACAGCAGTCTTTCTAGACTTTACCTAGACGAACGCTTTTTATCACATCTTTTAAATCAGCATGGAAAGCTGTTACAAATATACAAACTGTACCGTGGTAATAGTTGATATGACATTATTATACAAATTGTAACTGTAATTCTTATCTCATAAATATTGTAGCACTATGTGGAACAAAACATTGCAATGATGGCATTGTGCAATCTTTCTCATCTTAAGGAAAACCTGGTCTCTATTTTACACAAATGAGCAAAGGCTTCTTTATGTTATTAATTCTATGCCAAGCTGTTACATGTGAACTTCTACAGGAAGAGTAAGTCGCATGCCTTGTGCTTTTATTTTAGTAGCAGCTCTTATACATTGTAAGGGTGATTTTAAATATGCGCATGGAGTTGTAGACATGATAGGCTGTACCATCAGATTACCAGCTGTAAACCTATTATTTTGTAAAGCAATTGAAAAGTGTGCTTAATTTTTCGTGTCATCTGTCTGTCACCTCTTATTTTAGTGTTAGGAACAACTAAACAATACTGTGAAAAATACAACCGGACAAAATTGATTATTTTATGATTGAAGTCTAGTCATTGCATCATGGCAGTAAGGTATGTTTTATATCTAAACTATCTGTTTGAATGTTTGTTTGGAAGCAGTTGAATGAAACAATTACTGACTTTATCCATAACTTTGTTACAAAGATATTATTCTCCAGCTTCAAGAAATCTTTGTCCATTGAGATCTTCACAGATGCATATTAATCAACCACCCTGATAAAGTAGCTATTTGACACCAAAGTTGTATTGGCAATGGGGTGAGGCAGCAGGGAGAAGGTTATTAGATGTATACATTGTACATTTAAGCAGCACTGTCAAATGATACTCCCATGGTGTCCATAACAACATACATTTGTCATATATCAGATACAGTACTAGTAGATGACCATGTTTCCTGGTATCCATTGTTTTATATTTTTAACGAAGCCAAAGCAAGGGTTTGAGAGGCACACTACATGTACTTCATGAGACCAGATGCATTTTCCCCTTGACACCCGTGCAATACATTTTATGATGTGGAATCTTAAGAATAGGAAGGTAGCAATCTTACCTAATTTGCTGGTACAGGCAAGAAACAGTGATATTTTTAAGTTCTTTGATTTGTTGACCTCCAAGTTACACCAATGAAGTCTGATTGAAGTAATGACCTTCTTAAGCCAGAAAATATATACTAGTAACATGCTTTCAGATTTGGCTGTTGTGATGTCATTGTGAGACATCCAATCAGACTGATGATCCCTTTCATTCAGAATTAAGAAAGTAAAAATGTATATGTACACTGGAACATTCTGTGTTACTGCATTGGGCGCCTAGCATACTTCAGTATACTGATATGATACTTCAGTAGAGGTTGTAAAATTTCTGTGCTTTTGCTTAATTTGGATATTAGTAACAGACGCTGTAGACAAATTAATCTGAACCTTGATTGTAAAAAAAAGCATGTTCGACGGTGTACTAGGAGTTACTATTGTTTCTAAAAAGCCATAGTCAAATTGATTGTTGCATTTCATCATGTAATTTACTGGTGTTCTTAGTTGTATATTCTAGACTTAACATGGTTTAAAAGTACATGTAGTACACAAAGGAATCATTCATGTACGTGTATAATACTGTACCACTATTCTTTTAGCTTCCATGTAATGCTAGGACACAATTTTAAGAGGTATGGTTTTGAAAGTTTAGTTTACATCATGTGTAGATGTGTTGGTTACAAAGAAATGTTTTGTTTTTCTTAACTTACTTATCCTGTTATTGCTAGACTGTTTCCAAGGCCTACACAGGCTCTAGGTCCAACTTGCATGCAATTTAAGCCCCCCAGAGTTGTTTCTCAGTGCTGTGGTGAAATTACTTAGAGGCATGTTGGACCTGGTGTGGCCTGTGTGGGGCCTGGAAACAGTCTGGCATCCAGGCTAGACCTGCAGCTGCTGCTTCTCTGGAAAAGGAGTGCCCTTCCTACGTACATGAAGCTTTAAAAACAAAACAGGAGCCCACATTTTATTAGAACAAAAACAGTCCTAAGAGTCATATTACAGAGCTGTAGCACAACTTTTACTACTCCATGCAGTGTTTTTCTTTTATTTCTTTTTCCATATTCAAATCCAATTGCAAGATTGGTTTGGTATTCACTATATTTCCAATTTTTAGATGTCAAAGTTCATTTTATACTACCTTTAGTACTTCTTTCAAAGACACAGGGGAGACCAGAGTAGAGCAGCCCCCATGATGTACATTAGCTGACATTGTTAATATGTTGTAACAAGCAACTTTGTGACTTTTCAACCAGTTCTTTTGCTGCATATTTTTATGGTGCATTGTATACAAGATGTTAAAGTGTAAGCAGAGAGTGACATTTGCAATGGCATACCTGTAGATCATGTATGATATTTTTAGTTGAACTCCCCACGTAGGAAACTTTTCTGTGGGGATGATTTGGGTGATGACTTTGGTTTGATTTCAATGATATTAAGAATAGCAAAAATCATGTTAGCTTGGATGAATGTGTTTGGTTAAAGATGCAGACTCTAAGATTGTGAAGGGACATACCACAAATGATCATATGTTGTGCAAAACCACACCGGTCATTAGAGAACCACCATTTCCCTCAATCACGTAAAATATAATTTTAGTATGCTTCAAACCACCAATTTGACAAGAAAGGTTGCATCTTATGATGTCACATTGATGTTCACCAAAAATGCAGAAATGTCGTGTGACATCATTGCTGTATGACAGTTGTAAGTCATTATTTTAGGTCATGAACATTTTGTAATAAAACACATATTTTCCATACAGGTTCTATCTTGTGTTGTAGTAAATTCTAGATATGTCTGTCGGCTTAAGTATTGATACTTTCTCCCGGGCAGAGTCTGTCCCACATCAGTACTACATGTACTCACCTTAGTATTGCCACGGGACAGGCTCTGCATGGGAAAATGGTATTGTCGATATGGAGTTAAGGGGCTATTTTTTTAAGTTCAGAATTCCACCAGAATTGATGCCAAAGAATGTATTGAACCAGTCAAACTTCCTGATGGTTCGATAAAATATTGCCTCCTTTCTACGCTATAGATCAATGACTTATGATGATGATATTCATTGTCGTCGATAGCAACCCCAACTTCAGTTGCCCTTGTGGGTCAGGGTGTGGCTAATGAGTCTGATTCTTGCTCAGAAGCACCTGCCGCAGACTTTGCTTTTACATACAATGTAGCACTAACAAGTCAACAGGTGGAGCATATTCCAGTTTGGGCAAACACTTTTATTACCAAGGGAACTTGTTATTACATAACAGAAATCTGATGTAAACAAAGGACTTGCATATACATATTATAAATAAAGGAAAAAATTACACAAGTATGTAGTTTTAACCTTTTAAGGTAGAAAGATATGGCTCAGCTCCAGAATATTACAAATTCATTTTTTTTTCTTCAGTTAGCTGCACTTCTGGGTTGGTAGTGTTCTACATTTATTACAAGAAGTTTTGCTGCCATAGATATGTGCATGTAATTATAATATAACATGATACTTGAATATTTTACTACTCTTAATTGCAACAAACTACTTTTTCAATATTTGAAATACAATGCTTGTCTCTAAAAATAACCATACTTTTAAGTTATTACCTGGCATGTACATGTATATGGTTTGTAACTCACAAAGCTGTATAGTACTGTTACAGTAGTGTTTCTTAGTGGAATCTTCCAAGTGTTACATTTACAAAAATTGCAATGCTTTTAAAATGTGCTTTTTTTCAGTACTTAGTAATACAATCATCCAATTGTTAAGAATTACAATAAATACAGCTAGCATAACTTATAACTTATAGTAAACTATGTGTATACATGTGTACAAAAATACATGTATGACTATTCCAAAAATGAAAACTTTAGTTGTAATGGTGGTTAAAAACATCATGATTTTTCATGACATCATCATCACATTGTACATCTGTGGTACTTCAACTCAGTTGAGGATGACAGTAATGTCCCTATGTTCCTACACTCCGATGTTCAGACAACCCAACCTATTTGTCAACAACACTAACCCTATGTTGGAACTTAGTGGTGTCCTAGAGATGACAGCTTTACCTTTACTTTACAGGTAAAATTATATTCCTTAACACTTCCTTAGCTATACTACTTACTAGCACACTTATTGGAGTGGGCTTTCACTTCCATCTTTTGTCATGTCTGTCTAACAAAACAAAATCTTTTACCAATCCCACCATCTTCTTATGACAAAAATTCTACAGGTCAAGACTGCTTGAAGGTCACACTTTTGGCAAGCTATTCCCATTGTTGACCTATGACCTCCAGTGCCCAGACTGCTGATCACCTGACCTTGCTAGGAATGTGTCAGCCACAAATTGACCATCTAATAGATGATGACAAGTGTCCATTGGTGACCTATGACCTACGGTGGCCTGACCATATGTTAAGACCTGTCTGGTGTGGTGATGACCTCAATTATGGTGGCAAGTGTCCGGCAGATTTCAGTTGCTTGGTCCTATGGAGGGAACAGAGAAAGGAGGGTCAATAAGAAAGCAGTGCAATACTATAATTGCTGTTTTAGAAACATTTCCAACAATCTGAAATCACACTTCTGTGCCAACACTGACTGCTTACGTCAAATTGAAAATAGAACAGCAGTACTAGTAACACATATCTGACTCACGATCATGTACATTACAATCAGCACCATGGTATTAACTAGACTGAATGTCAAACTGTTTTCAGGGCCTACACAGGCCAGCTCCTTGGTTCCAGGGCAAACATGCCCCAGAGGAAATTTTACCATGGCCCCCCTTAACTAAGTTACATTAAGACCCTGAAGGTCTTGGAGCCAAGGAGCTGAGCTGTATAGGCCCTGAAAATAGTTTGACATCCAGGCTAGGTATTAACACAACATGACATATCTCCTATAAACCAGATAAGACTTTTAACTCCATCCAGGTCTTACCTGACTATTACACTGGAAGGCCAGCAGGCCGTACTTGGTTTTCCTGGGTTGTCCCACCTTTATTGCCACAACCTGTTTCCCCAGCCCATCATCATAACAAACCACTCTCTGGATGCTGTACAGTGGATGTCTGTACAGTACCTACAACAAGTACAGGTGGATATGTCAGGGCAGAGATTACAATCTGCCAGAATAGAATCATTGACTCTGCAAAACCATGAAAGGCTTACTGTGGTTATATTTTGTGGTGTTCTCATAACATGAAAGCATGACATGACACTTCAAATATGTTTGTATTTCTATTGTACTGCATAATTGTTTAACTATGCACTTCAGACACCACGTTAGAACCTCCTTTTCCCTCATACCACAAAATAAATGCACAGTAATCAAGAGACTCAAAGTCGAATACCACTTACAACAGGTGAGTTGACCTCCATGACCTTGATCCCATACTTGAACAGTACCAGGATGACTTGACTGTCATCCTTAGCAATGAAGGGTATCCTTCTGTATTGCTGCAAAAACATGGGCTTTATTACCAAAGGTCTGTAAAAATCTAATACTTATAGCAACTCCAGCCTAATAATTGACATTGAAATTCAATTTTGTAAATCTTCCAAGGATGCTTTTCACACAAATGAAAAATTGTGCTAATTGCTTTATCACCTATAGCACACTGAAGTATCATATTACAATTCTCTATTGGTTACGGGGTTAAGCAGCAGCGAAGCCACCAGTCTAACCTGGTTGAGGTCGATTGTGTTGATCATGCCGATGGCACCTTGGTTGTCCAAATCTTCCAGGTTGTCCAGCACAGCCAGAAGTTTGACCTTGAACTCTGCAACCCCACCAAGCACAGCTGACACACCTGATGAGGGAAAGGGATGGTTCAGTGTTTGTGTGAGATGACATCCTAACTGATACCATTCCAACTGATCGTCAATGGGGAAAGTGAAAACAGATATGCAGTGTTTTCTGTGTAGCCTGACTATTGGCTACATCATTCTCATGAATGGAAACATCCTCATCCTGTCTGTTACTGTAGTGTTGGAGGCTGTGATGACCAGTTTCTATAGTGACAGAGCTCTAAACTCCTGCTGGACTGATTTCAGTTCTGAGAATGGTTAAGTGAATGGCCTCATTCAAGCTTTTGTGGAGGAGCTCAAGGCCTTATCAGCACTGACAGCGAGAGATCAGAAAGCAATATGATGAGTTTACCTTCCATAAGGAACATTTTTCTCGAAATACTACTAATTTCATAGGTCCCTTTAATGAGTAAAAAAAAGCATCCCAGTCTCTACCTGAGCTTCTCTGGGACTCCGAGCTGGGTTCGAACCCTGTACCGCTGGACCGGGACCACTGGCCACTACTACTGGAGGATGCCTGTATCAGATACAAGAACATTGTTTAAATGCCAGGTAAGCTTACACAGTAACATCTTAATAAAGGCACTTCTATGTCAACAAATACAATTACATGTATAGATATTATTGACAGAGAAATTATCGTACCTGTAGCTAGTGTTGATATCATATTGATACATATATTAATCTTGGCCAAGCTGTACAGACTACAAACAATATCTGCTACCTAGAACATACTGTAGTAATACATGTACGTAATACAAAATGAATCAAGCAACGTGATAAATTCTCAGATGGATGCAGATGGATGCAACCTGAAACAATCTCAGGGAAATTTACCCAGTTGCTTGATTTCTTTCTGTGTAATGTTTAGTGCTGGTGTGCGTTGAAACGTGGCAACATAATCTGATGAACGTAAGAAAGAACATAAGGTAGACTGACCTTTCCACTGGAGCTGTTTTTACTGCTGAGGGAGTTGTCGCCCTCTTTTTTGCTCTTTTTCTTCTTGTTACGAAACATGATTGATTCCCTAGGACTCCTATCCAATCACTAGGAACATTTTACCAAAGTTTAACAGTAATTAAACAACAACTGTTAAACAAATAGTGTATTTATATCAAACAAGTTACAGTGTGTAAGTGGAAATGGCTGCCTAAAAAAATCAGATTCGCTACAGAATATCAAGTTCTACTGCATTACTGTTGAAAGCTGCAAGGGGGCTCACAATCTAGATCATTTCAAGGTTTCATTAACACCTGCACATGCAGACAAAATATCAGTTTAATTTACCCTCCTTGCAAATATCAACTCAAGACAATCCAGCTAAGCCCTCGGGTTATCATGTCGATGGACACACACACAGACAAACAGACACACAAACACTAGTGAAACCATAACCTAAGCTTTTTGGTGAAGTTAGTAGGAATATATTTCACCAGGCACCTTACATAGTATGATGAGGTCTATAGTAGAGCAGGGCAACAAACAGCAACAACAAAATTGAAATACTGGGTGCATGTGCACCTTAGAGCACCCAAATTTGGTGATGTGCACCCAATTTTTTCTCTGAGGGTGCACCCATGGAGGTAAAAAAAACACAATATTTTTTGAATTACCTCATAATTTGGTGCACCCAAATATTTTTGTAGGTTTTATGTAAAGGTGTTACATGTATAGTAGTATACAGCATATTGTTAACATCTAAGTGTCAGAAAAATAATATATTCATTGTTGTAGTACTTTTCTTTAGAAATGAGCCCTGTCTACAGCAACGTTACTTCAGCTGTTTGCCAATCGATCCATATGCATATATACACGAAGCAGATAAAAATGCACAAACATAAACACAAGCGAACCTTCAGATAAAACGTCTTCAAGCTTTCGGTTTCCTGGCCAGTGTCACAAGTAATCTTTAGGTTATCATCTTATATCCGAGGTCAAAGTAAAGAGCGAACAATTAGCATTAAACTGGTAAAAATTTGGCAACACCCCAATATTTTTCATCTAACGGCAGCCATGATGGATTTCACAGAATCTAGACTCTACCATTCTATAAAAAAAGGGTATTTTTCAGTCCAGTTACTGTTACTCTGCCAAAATGAGGAAAACAATTGGTAATTAGTCATTTACATTACCTCATATATTTATAATTTAGATTTTAGTCTATTTGTTACATCTTTTTTTACACTTTAATCTTTAATAATTTGATTATTATTTATTAATGATAACGTAAAGACCCCCTTAAAACCAATAGCTCCACCCAGGAGTGGAATATACCATGAAAAGAAAATTATGGAGGGTAACGACTTGTATATTCGGCCTTTAAAAGTGTTATGAACAATAATATTAGCATATATTACCTATGATGAAATAATTGCTTTCTATTTAGCAACCTGCTACTTTCTGCCTTACAAAAGGACCATTTTTGTGGTCGGAAGTTACCTGGTCTGTGATTGGTCAGATCCTGGGGGCTCGTCATGACGTCAAAAATCGTCACATGGTGGATCAGGATCACTTTTCCCCGGTCAGCCCCACGACGCTTTCAAAACCAGACGGAAATTAAAAATTAGGTCAGATTCTTCGTACACATACACCCCAGGAACATCTTTTTCAAGAGGATACGTTGTGCCGAGGTAAGTCTGTTTTCTGACTGTGACTCCGAATCGTTCAAAAAGCAAGCTAGCCCTGATTTTCACCTGGGTTTCTTCCAACCGGTTTGATCCTGTCATATAATCATGCCGCGATCCAAGGGCATTATTTGAGTGTTTTTATCTTACCTCAGATCAAGTAGGTTTAAAATCGCACAGATCCCCAGTTATTTGTACATTATGAAAGGAAAGAATGAACCGTAACAACCAGGCCAGAGTTTACGCCAAGAAAGAACCGCGTTAACCGCAGAACAACGGCCGCGAGGCATTCATGTGGCATGCGTACTGTGGGCGTTATTTATGGTCCAACAACGTGACTGAACGAACGACCCTCCCACAATTTGCCACAAGTTATATATTGTACATTGTAGTATGTTTATTTTCTCGTGGCAGAAAGGCTAACCGTGCTCGTGTATGTAAAATCTGTACCGCCGTCTGAAGACTAAAATCACAAAAGCCATGCACGTTGCGCTTGTTGTATCCCATCTGCCATCCGAATGATGATTAATTTTAGGGTGTATAAGCGTGTGTGTACGTGTGTGTGTGGCCATGTGACCTACTAATCATGTCATGGTTCACACATCCCCGGACCACAATGTTTTGTTCTGATCCAGCTTTCCTTGGATTAGAATTTGTTGCTACGGGAGAGCGGGGGAGTGTTTGACATGAGGTCTGCAGCATGATGACCGTGGTGCACAGATCCACGATCATCCATGGGGAGGGGGGTGGAGACTGACAGTGACAGTGGTGCAGCTGGTAGATCTTGTATAAAACTTTCTTCAGATGTGATACACATTCCTTACAGTTCTTCAGATTTGATACCAATCGAATTCCTTATAATCAGAATGCCCAGATTCCTTTCCACTGATAAGTGAGAGTGTTGGTATGACAGTAGTCTCACTTTGCCCCAGGGAAGTGTGTAGGAACAGGTAGGCTGTTTAACCTGCCAGCTAAATTAATTGCCACTAGTGATAACATAAATTGCCACTTGCAAAACTCTAGGCCTAAAACTTATGTTAACATACATTTAATCTTTCTTCCTTTCCCAACCAACATGGTATATAGATGAGTTATATGATGATGATGATGATTAGTATTAATACTATTATATCTCAAATTCCATTATGTGGTAAAAGTAAATTATGTGGACAAATTGTCACCCCCATTAACCCTTATATAGAAATGTCAGTTACCTTGTAACAACTGGTACTACTGATAGATACAAAACATTGCTATAGATTAACTTGAGTGCAGAAGATAGATACTAGTAGTTTTTGACCAACACACAATCAATATGCTGCAAAGTATACTGTATATGTGGTGGTTTTATTTTGCTGTAACGTTAGTAGGAATGGAGGTTTTCACAGTGTTTTAATCTGTGGTAGAAACATTTCAATTTTGTGTGGTACAGAAGTCAAAGACATATTCATGGTGTCATGAATTTGTGGTGGAGAGGTCACCACAAAAAATGCAAAGGTAAAAGCCCCACAAAAATCCCACAGTTTACAGTAGTATTACTAACAAACACTTCTGTCAAGTTCTGTGGCAAGAGGGATTTGGAGCACTCTCCAAGTAAGAGACATAGGGTGTAAGTATCATCCTGGTTAGTTTTCGAAAAAGCCACTGTGGAAGTGGGCATTGCTGACCAGTATGACACATAAGTTAAATGGGCACAGGTTTCCAACCTCTCAGGCCACATGTGTGTGTAATCAATCAAACTATCCAAGCTTGGCATGCACAGTAGTGATTGGCAAGCAAAAAAGAGGTATGAAGAATTACAGTCCTGTTTAACGCAAAATTGAGCCTTTAAAGTTTACGTTCAAGAGTTCCTACTCTGTACTACGAATTACACCAGAAATTTGTGAAGTTAGTGAGGTTTCCAGTTGTATACACAATTCCCCAGAGACCCTTATGGGCTGAAGGCATGTTGGATAGTCTACTTTTACCCTTTGACCCACTAAATACCTCATGAAAGGCAGATGGAGCAAGAGAGCAAACATTTGCCTGCTACTGTACACACAATCATTTTCTCATGGGTACATACATGTACACTGTGCCTGATTAGACCAAGAGGTTTGTGTGGTACACATGTTTGAGTTTGCTGATAACACAAATGTAGTTCCGGATTGCTTGTTCTGTGAATTGTATACATTGTATTTGTCCATTTGTCTAGTTCTTGGTCTAAGTGCCAGGGAAACAAAAGAATATTGTCATAGCAATCAGAAAGCTAGCCTGTCCGAATCCTGTACTCTTCAAGCAGATCTTGTGGTAGCTACAATATAGTACTAGTATCAAATATTGTCAAGATATAGTATCAAATTGGTCATGTAGTATCCAATATGTGACCTGAGTCACAAAAGATAGTACAAAAAAGAAAGCCCAACAAAAATGCCTAAAACACGTAAAAATAAGCCAAAGCCCAAACTTCTGCTTTGAGAGTATGAATTGTCCCACTGATTCGCTCTTGAGAAGGGGGCCAATTATTCCATAGCAGTGAGAGATTGTGTAACACACTCATCAGAAAGCGATCTATGACTTCTTGTTCGTGTTCAAATATCCAAGGACTGTGACTTTCTGGTTGTAATTAGTAATGAGTCAACAATTTTGTAAACTGTATGCTCTTTTCAATTATAGTGTTGCACTCACCGATATTTTCCTCTCAGTAAATCTTCTATTTCTTGATGTTGATAAATTTTGCTTGTCACACATTGATTATGATAGTATTCATCATAAGCCTCAGGCATACTTTCCCTTTACTCCAGATCCTTAAGCACTGAACCTTGACCTCTGTGCCCTAAAGGTGTATAATAAATTCTGCTAGACAAGTTCCTTTTGTGAAGCCCTGGATACCGAAACAGCTCGGCTGCCCAGCACTTTGCAACAGCGTGAGAACTAGTAGAAGTTCATGTACTAATAGTAATACTAATAGTATTGTAGAATAGTAAGATTGTTTGTTTATTTAGTCGACAACCCGAGCAACCAATTGTTTTGGTTGAATTGTTTTCTTATGTAATTTCTCTCATCTAAACGTTTTCCTACTTTCAGTGTTTCACACAAACAACTAATTTCAGTCTATTTTGTAGGCATAGCCTGGTTGCCATCCTATTTATAGTATTTGGAGGTTTTTGTGGTTAGTTGTTTGTTGTAGAAATAAGTTTGTTGTACAGTAGTAATAGAATGGAAACAATGTCATGAATTTGAATATTTCAAGATTTACAGTGCGGCAAACAGTTTTTAAACACAGGTGTCTTCTGTGTGTCACAGGTCTGAGGTAGAGAAATGTTTCCAGCCATAACAAAGTCTGTGTGCCGTAGCGCTGGTCATGACATCCAGAGAACACGGCTGGTGCGACACTGTGTGCGCTTCTTCAACGGGTTCTCTCAGGACGAGATGCCTGTCGAAGAGACGCCTGCACCCAGGATTCTCATCACAGGTAGGTTACTCAGCATTTGATGATTGATAATTACTGTGGGTTGATTTTTTTCACAAGGATTTAATTTTGCGGTAGAAAGAGGACATTTTCCTAGCATTCTAAATTTGTGGTGGAAACATTTTTTCTGAGAATGCTAGATTTCTTGTTACAGGTGGTTTGGGACAGCTGGGCAGTGGACTTGCCAGCCTACTCAGGTAAATAAATGATTATCCATGACTTTTTGCCATACCTGTAATGCTGTTGTTTTGTGCATATTGGTTGCAGAGTGTAAACTGTTGCAATGGAAAGAGTTTACTGCCTGTTGTCCAGAGCAGCAGCTGAGCCTTAGAAGGTATCTTAATGTGTGCATGGTTTCACGTTGTGTTTTTACATTGCAGGAAAAAATATGGCTCGGACAATGTTATCATGTCAGACATAGTGAACCCACCAAGACATGTCAGAGAAACTGGTATGTACACTATTGCACTTATTTGGTATTTTTGTATTAAGAGTTTCAGAAAACTAAGTTCTTCTACTGTCTTTAGAGAACATGATGATAATCTCCTTTAGCCTGAGTGTCAGCCTTGTTAGCTTTCGTCCGCTACCCAGGCGGGGAGCGGACCTTGGGTAGCGGACGAAAGCTAACAAGGCTGACACTCAGGCTAAATCTCCTTCCCACTATCAAGATGGAAATTCAACAGTCAGCCTTCTCAAAACAAGCCGGCTACCGGCGAAAATCGCCGCCTACTCAAATTTTTGCGCCGGCTACTTTGGTCAAAATTTTCAAATTTTTGCGCCGGCTACTTTCGTCTAAATTTTCAGAAAAACAAGTAAGCTCCGTTACATTTTCTCACAAACTTCACCGGCTCATTTCTTCTGACGAACTTCAGACAAATTTCTGCTAGCTTTCTGGATCTGAAAACTGCTTCTTTCTTAGCCTCCTGTGCAGATTTCTAGTGCACGAGTCAGCGTTTGCTTCTACGAGCGGCCCGCGGCCGGCCAGAGCGGCCGAAACTTTACGGGGGGAGGGTCTTGTTCGGGGCTCGAGTTGTATCCGCGGAGCTGTATCGCTCGAGCTAGGCGGAACTTGCTTCGTAAACTCGTTGCTCACGAAAATTTATCAAGCCGCTACCTTCCCAACTTCTCCCGGCACTAGTAACATTCCTGCTACAAATAACTAGTACAAATCACGTCAAAAAATATCAAGACATGTATAGAAGCGTGTTCATATCTTTCATACACAGAGACAAATTTTCAAAAACAAATCGCCATCAGCGAGATTTCACATCTGTTTCATTCATCAAAAGTTCTTGTCGATCGTAAAATGATCACTCATCTGTTGTCTCCACTAGTGTGACATTTGTAGCTTAATCACGGCTAGCCAAAATCAGCGTTAAAACCCCGGAATAAAAACACGCACACTCCACATCGCTGTACAAAAACAGGAGCTTTCAGGCGCCATCTTGTCATGAATAAGTAAGTAGCAGCGTGCGATCGACGCTCTGATTGGTTCACCTCACATGACCTGCGTTCTGATTGGATAAGCGATGTGGCCAGCAGCCGGCAGCGCGGGAAGATTTTTCTTCGCCGGCAGGCTCTCGCCGGTGAAGAAGAGACACATTTACGCTGCTTTCTACGTTTTTTCTACGACTACTAAGCAACATCCTATTAAAGAAATACATAATTAAAAGAATTTTCGGGAAGATGTATATTTCTCTACGCCGATTTTTGGCCATTTTCTCGTAATTTTCTTGTTCAAGGAACCCGGAAGTCAGTGTACCGGGACGCGGGGTGAATTTCCATAGGGCATTTATGGATCGCTCCCCGCTAGAATTAAACCGTCAAAACAGAAACAAAACTTCCAAAAAGCGAAACTGTGACATTTTTTCACATCCCAATGATTATGTTTTCGATCAAATTGACATTTAAATATGCTTTCTTTATTTTTCTGCATTTTGTGGCCGGGCGCAAGGACCGCGCGTAATACGATCGGAGTGGCAAACGATTTTAATACAGCCTTTTTCCGGAATTATTTGTGCACGAACAGTAAATTTTGGAGCCACAAGATTGCCATAAAAGCTGCTCAGAATGTACCAAAAACGATGTTTAGGGGTCTAATTTTTACGATTTCCTTACTTTTTCTTATCAGCCACCTACTCTAAATTTTTTTGAGAAGGCTGACAGTCCAACCAGAAGTCATGAAGGTTTTCACCAAACCTGTTTTAATACAACTTCTCCTTGCCCATTCCCTCCTCCAGGGAGATACATCTATGCAGACATTCTGGACTTCAAGAACCTGCAAGAGAAGGTTGTGAACGAGGGCATTGATTGGTTGGTCCATTTCAGCGCCCTGCTTAGCGCGGTGGGCGAGGCTAACGTACCCCTGGCAATCAAGGTAGGAGCCCTATGATTGGTTGTTACTCTTTAAGTTCGTTTCAACTTGAAACAGAGATTTATCCTTGCATTATTGAAGCACATTATGTATACTCTTCTCTCCTCATGAGGTTTCAATAATGTGTCCTTGAAGGTAAACATAGAAGGTATGCACAACATCCTGGAGGTCAGCAGGCAGTACAAGTTGAGGGTCTTCATCCCCAGCACCATCGGCGCCTTCGGTCCGACCACCCCGCGGGACCCGACCCCTGACCTCACCATCCAGAGGCCTCAGACAATCTACGGTGTGGCAAAGGTCCATGCTGAACTAATGGGCGAGGTAGGTAGACTCCACTTGTGTAGGACATTTAGGTGGTTACGTTGTATATTAGTTACTGCTACTATTGTTACTTATATATACATGTGTGTAAGAATGTTACCTTTACATGATTTCTGTCAGTCTATTTGTTGCAGCAAGGTAAAGCAGGGGAGAAATTGTGTGATATCATTTTGTGGATCTTATTTATAGTGGATCATTGAAGGTAGGATAATGGCGCACTTGACAAGAGAATTTCATTGTGTACTTTGCCCTTGCTCCAGTACTATCACCATAAATATGGTCTGGACTTCCGCTGTCTGCGCTTCCCTGGCATCATTTCTGCAGAAACACCACCTGGCGGTGGAACAACAGGTACTGTACTAGAACATTTTCTTGCTGTTCCATCTATTTTATCAGCACAATGATTAGATATTACAGACAAAACCGTCTATAGTGGTCATGTAAAGGACTAAGCATATAGACCACTATGGACAGGTGACCAGTTATGTACATATAGAGGGACACAAGTCTGGCACATGTTCAACTGCACACTGATTTCAGAGGCCTTTCTCCCTGTCTGCAGACTACTCTACAGAAATCTTCCATGACGCGGTGACAACCCAGAGACACGAGTGTTTCCTGGAGCACAACACGCGTCTCCCCATGATGTACATCGACGACTGCACGCGGGCGACGGCGGAGGTGATGGCGCTGCCGGAACACAGACTGAAGCAGCGTGTGTACAATATCCAGGCCATGAGCTTTACCCCTGCTGAGATCTATGAGGAGGTGAAGAAGCACGTGCCTGACATGGAGATCCAGTACAAACCGGACAGCAGACAGGCAATAGGTATGTGGGCCTTGTTATAGATTCTCACTTCTGTGTTGACAAGGCATATACTGTACATTTGTATAACAAGCTGTACTTTGTGAAACATTCTTGTATAATGTACGTGTACAGCATGAAAAAGGTTTAAACTTACTTGCCAAAAAAGCTGTATTAGGATATGTGAAAAATTAGACCGGAATTATGATTGACTTAGCATTGCTTGATAGTTGTACATGTATGACCCGTGCTGTTGTGTTCAGTTGTGCATTTAAAGAAAGTTTATACATAAGTTTTATCTTTGATATTATTGCTAATTTGCCATTGTTTGCCCTTGTTTCGTGGCATTTGCAGATTTCTAATGCAATTTTCCTGCTTGTACAGCTGACACCTGGCCGCAGGTTTTGGATGACACCAACGCGAGGCTGGACCTGGGCTGGAACCACGAGTACGACCTGCCCAAACTGGTCACAACAATGCTGACCAAGATCAGAGCACAGAAGGAGGGGAAACATGGAACCTCTGCACAGATCAAAGCTGCTGCTATTTAACTGTTGGAACAAGTGAGGCTGCTTGTAACACAAACAAAACATGTAACAACTACTGTCAT